GAAAGTTAAAAATGGGATGAACACCGTGGTTGGGAGTCAAGATTTCTAAAGCTGAGGCTATTTCTGTGGTGGCAGGCTGCTGATATAGAAGAAGTCAAGCTCATTGGAGTAAAGATTAGAGGGATCGCTGAATATTCATTTAGATTTCCTAATCTCCTAATCTTACAGCATGATTTAGGATGGGCAGCAAGCTGGTGAGGCAGTTTCAGAGTCCTCTCTGGCTGCAGAGGAATGACTGGAGTCCAGGATGGAGGAATGGAGCATAAATCAGATGCTGTGAGCTTTAAAGCAGAAAGGCCTTTTGAAAGATATGCTAAAACGCTGATCTGGATGTGGCCGTGGGAAATAGGTAGAGAAATACTTCAGGGAGTAAGGGGAAGGACAAAACTGGAGATGAACAACTAAAGAGATCAGGTGAATGGAGGAGCTGGCACCTTGGGTGGAGTTGTGGAATGGACCCAATCAGCCTCAGAATTCCAAAGGTAGTGTAAGTATATATGATTTGGCCAATGCCTAGAGACAGCGTGGATAAATATCTCTTCAATTAATTAATGTCTTTTGCTTTTAGAATGTTAAAAAGTGTTACTCTTTATATTCATTTCCTATAACTTAGTCTCAAAACCTGCTGAACCTCTGGCAGACAGCTTCCAGGCTTTTCCTTATAACAGATTACAAATAGATCATTTTGTGCAGTTGAGCTTCCTTTATTATCTACCTGCTTTCTTTTTCTAAAAGCTCCTTCCCATAAAACTTATGAGCATAACTGTATGAGCTAGAGAAACAAAGACATAATGTTTTTGGATTCTTGTTCTAAATTAATAAAGGTAAAAACACTAATTTTATTTTATTGGTGATCACTTTGATGTTATTAAATTACTGTCTCAGTTACCCATTTATTTATCAAAACCCCAGGAAGCAGGCAGGATGGGTATTACTATTCCCAATTTTGCACATAAGCTATTTAGACAGGTCCTATGACTTGCCAAGACCACTCAGCCTCACACAGCCAAAATGTGGGGAAGAAAGACTAGAACCTTTGCATTTCTAGTCTGAATTACAAGCTCTGGGACGGTGGTTTTCTATTTATTTTGAATTTGATCATAGTGCAGAATCAATAGGCATGGGATGGGGTTTGGAATCTGCATCTGAGGCAAACATTTGTTGCTTGTGTTTCCATGATCATACTGAGAAAAAGACTAATCTAGAAATTCCTTTTCCTTGTTCTCTTAAAGGAAAAAATCAGAGAGAGAGAGATAAAGACTGATCTCACCTCTTACCAATCAAAGGAATATTTTTTCTTGAAGAAGTAGAGCCCCTAGCTTTTCTTTACTGTGACTTACAACACACACTGATAAAGTTAATTATCTGCCTCAGCTAAATGACTTTCCCTAGCAACACCCTAGCAACTAACATCAACTCTGCCTTAGGCTACAAAACTGGAAAGAGATTTCTTGATGTCCAGTGTATTTTACAACAGAACAAAACATCTAAACAGGAAATTAAATAGAAAGTAAACTGGATTCATTGCTGGGAGATGAGACACGCACATACAAAACAGTTCATGACAATCCACCAAAATACAATAGTCAAAGTAAGAAACTTGCTTCATGAATTCCACTCAAGTCCAGACGAGAGAATACAGGATCTCATTCCATGGAGGAGAGGCAAATTTAAATGGGTAGGAAGAGAGATGACATTCTAAATGATGGGAAAGCTATAAACAAATGTGAAGAGGCAAGATGGCAAGTGGTAGACACAGGGTACCCACCTGGTGGGTGCTGGGATCTATGGCCATATAGTGAAGGACCTTGAAGGTCACTTGAAGAACTTGGGCTGAGTCAGAGAGCACTGGGAGGCTGTTAAAGACTTTTTATGCATAAGACAAATATTTAGGGAGGCAGACACTATGATATGCATGGCGGATGCAGCAAAGAGCCCCAGAGACAGTCCCTGCCCTTATAACTTCAAATCTAGTGATGAAGACAAATACTGAACAAATACAAAATGTGAAAGTCAAACATAAAAAGAGAATACATAATTATAAATCTTAAGAATATTAAGAGAAAAGGTATCAGGTTCCAGGAGAGCATATAATGAGGGGTGGATCTGTGGTAGGAAATCAGGAAGGACTTTTTGGAGGCAACAGTTTTGCACTGAGATCTGAAGAATCCATAGGAGTTGGCTGGGAGACGGCCAGGGTAGGAGAGAGAAAAGAGCACTGGATTCTAGGCAGAGAGAACAGCACAGGCAAGAGTTCACAAAACTGAAGAGCCATGGTGGCCGGAGTTCCAGAGAGGAGGGGTGTGTGGCCTGGGGGGCAGATGAAGCAGGCAGGACCTTGGAGGCCACTTGAAAGATCTGTCTTTGTTCTAAAAACCCTGAAAAGCCAAGGAAAAAAGATTTTATCCTAGGATCGACATTCAAATCTGCATTTTAAAAAGGATCCTTTGGGCTTCAGTGCAGAAGACAGATTGGAGGGGAGCAAGAATAGATGTGGGCAGCCCAATTAGGAGACTGAAAGATGATGACAACTTAGACGAGGGTGGTGGCAGAGGAGATGGACAGAAGTGGACAGATTCAAGAAGTAGTTGGAAGGTGCAACTAACGACCTTGTGATGAATTGGATGTGTGGAGAGAAAGCAGTGGTCTGACGTGACAGCAGAGCTGGGTTAGGGAATCTAGCTCAGGTAGTGAGATTGGAGCCAGAAGGGCTGCCTAGAGCCTGCTGTCATAGCCCAGATGAGGAGGGCAAAGCTGTGTAGTGGGAAGAATGCCATTTTGGTGTTGGTGAGGCCCGTTTTGAATCCTGGGATTTTTCCCCCTTTTTAGCTGTGGCACCAAGGCAGGCAATTTTATAGGTTTTAAACCAGAAAATAGGAGGAAGGGGGCTAATGGGCATTCTACCTGATACGGTTTTCCTGCTAATGTTCATTTAAAAATTACATCTCTGCTTGCTCCATGCCTACCCACCTCCCTGCCAGATTCAAATATGCTGATTTCAGTGAAAAGACATTTAAGAGCACATATTTGGGTTCTTGGACATACAAAAAACTCCATGAGGACAGGGCCACATTTTATTCATCTCTGTAGTTTCCTGTCCTCTGAGATAAAATTGGTTAACTGTCATGAACCACTTATTTTAGTTTGTAGCATATATCATAACTATAATTTGATAAAATGTATTTAATATTTGTCTTTCCCACAGGATTGTAAGATCTACAAAGGCAAGTAGTAGGTCTGCCTTTGTCCCAGAGCAGAGAACTTGGAAGGCCTTTGTCATGAATGAATGAACTTTTGTTCCCTCTGGTGTCCTGCTTCTCAGGACAGATTTGGCTCCAAATCTATACTCAGTGAAAGATATGCTGGATGATGGGGACCGGGCACCAAGGATTCTAGCATGAGCTCTCAGCTGGCGCAGTGACATGGGAGATAATTCACTCAGGATGCAGACTGGAATCTGAGTGTCACTCTGTAAAAGAGGGCTGGTCAGCTGTACCAGGTGCTGTTGAGGGTCAAGGAAAAACAGGACTGAGAAATTACATAATTGGCTGCAGGAAGTGGGCCCTCTCAGGTGACCTCTGAGGGAAGGTGCCCAATTAATAGTGGCAGCAGGAGTTCCAGCATGAGGACCAAGGAGTAAGTGGGCAGGTAAGGAGGGATGGAGACCTCCAATGCAGATGGCTCCTCCAGGCTGTTTTATTAGTGATGCCAAGGAGAAAAACCTGACATGGAAAACAAAAGAGATTGCTTTTTAAATGCTGACTTTTGAGGTGTGTTGAAGCCCAGGGGAAGGAGGAGGTGGGTAACCAAAGATTCTGAGAGCACCTGCGTAGTGATGCTTGTGCACAGAGGTGTCTCCAAGATGGGCTTGGTCTTCATAACTGTGATACCTAGGCCTGGCCCAGCCCCACTCACTGAGGGGCATGTGCATGGGATACACTGGAGACCAAGCTAAGTGTTTTATATGGGTCATTTCATTTAACTCAGCACCCCCTAGAATAAGGGTGTATTAGGCTGTAGGTGCACACATGCTTGCACAGACACATTTGCACAGACACACACGCACACAGGCTCCTCAGAGCATGAAGCTAAAGCTTGGAAAGGTAAAGTGGTCCATCTGTCACAATGGGTAAATGGCAGGACCAAGGTTTGATTCAAGGAAACGCTGGGAGATATTCTTGCAACTGAGGCATATCCTGCCTGGCCTTGGGTGGTACCTGAGGCTCTGCCCATTAAACCCTCTGCTCATCTCCTCTCCAAACATCTGTCACTGGGGACTGAGAACCTGAACTAACATCTAAACCAGGAAAATGCAGGCCTTTCTTTGAAACTTTGAAAACTCCTTTCCAGGGCTGAATGAGGACCCCCAGGGGCCTTAGGCACTTTTGTCTTTGTGGGCTCCTTCCTTCATAAAACAATAGCAAACATTTTATTACTGTGATGATATAAATAGAAATATATTAATATTATATAGTACAATAGTTTATTGGACTGAAATGTTTTCTTTCTTCTGATTTTATAGAAAATGTTTTCAGCAGTCTCAGGGGGTGTTACAGGCTCTGTGCCTACTGGGGCCACTGGATGAGTCCTGCTACTTTCTCATCCTCCAGTCTGACCTGTTCAACAGAGCAAACGTCAGATAGTCATGGCACCTGACCCTGCCTTACTGTTTGGCTGCAGGCCTCAGTTTGCTCATCTCTAAAGTCAGTGAAAGTAGATGTCATATTTTTGTCGGGCGGTCAGAGTGGAGAAGGTGAGCAGATACCATAAGCACACAGCCCAGAGTATTGGTCGGCCCAGAGTAGGTGTGCTTCGAAAGTTAGTTCTCAGTCTCCGTCTCCTTCGAGCACCGTCCTCCACGGGGTTCAGGGTGTAGCCGGAGGTGGGGGCCGCAACCTCCTTGGCAGTGGGACAGAGCCCGCAGTGTCCCTGGGCCTTAGGAAATTCTCGCCAGACCCTGGGAATCCGGCGTCGCAAAATAAACACGGCCGAGCCGCTAATCGCCAGCTCGAAAACAAAACGGCGCTGCGCTCAGCGATCTGGGCAAAGCCAGCCCTCCCTCCTCGGGCTCTTGGCCGCCGCCCTCCCTTCCTCGCGCTGCTCGGCTCGCTCAGCTCAGCCCCGCGCAGCGCAGCTCGGCAGCCGCCACGCCGGGGCGGGCACGGTCTCCCAGCTGCCAGCGCAGGCTCTGAGCTCCCTCTCCCCGCCCGGGCTCCGCCAGCTCTCGCTTCCGCGGGGACCCCTTCGGGCAGAAGTCGCGTGGCGAGGGCCAGCGGCAGCGGCACGAAGTTGGGGGCCGGCGAGGATGAGGCTGTCCCCGGCACCCCAGAGGCTAAGCCGGAGTCCGGCGCTGCTGGCTCTGGCGCTGCCCCTGGCCGCAGCGCTGGCCTTCTCGGACGAGACCCTGGACAAAGTGCCCAAGTCGGAGGGCTACTGCAGCCGCATCCTGCGCGCCCAGGGCACGCGGCGCGAGGGCTACACCGAGTTCAGCCTCCGCGTGGAGGGCGACCCCGACTTCTACAAGCCGGGAACCAGCTACCGTGGTAAGTGGCCCGGAGTGGCGTTGGGGGCGCGGGACCCGGTTCCCGGAGAGCGCCGACCGCGCGGTGCCTAAGGAGGGCGCACAGTCCCCGGGCGCATGTGCCCTGCGGTCCTGGCTGCCCGCAGCCCTTTGAGCAGCGAGCTCTGCGCGGTTCCCCAGCCGGCGCCCGGGGCCGTCGCGGGGTCCGCAGCCGGGCGGGAAAGCCCCAAGTCCGATGCGGGGTTCGCTGGCATGGGCTGTGGCCGAGCGGCGCGACGTGCGGGCCTGGCTGAGAGGGACCCCGGCTTCTCCCAGTCGGGTCCCAAACAAGGTGGTGGCTCGGGCTTTCCGCTCTCCCATCCCTGAGACCGAGGATGCCAGCTTCTCGTTGACCGGCCCCGGCGGGACGGCCACTCCGGCTTCCCCGGACAGACTCCTTCAGGAAGAGGGACTTCAGCTTCTCCCCTAACTGGTCCCGGGGAGCGGGGAGGAGACAGGGAAGAGCCTGAAGCTTTTCGGAAGGGTTCCTGGAAATACCACCAAATTATTCTCTGATGGTCCCAGGCGAGCGAGAAGACCCTGGATTTCGAGGACAGGCTCCCAGTGAAACGGGTCTCCACAGAGCCCTGGGTAGGTCCGGATAGCGAAGGGGAACCCGGTGGGGACGGAAAGGAAGCCCGAATTCCTGAAGCCGGCTCCCTGGAGGCTGGGGGACCCTGCCTCCCGCAACCCCGCGCCTCCGCGCCCCGGGCGTCGCGCCTACGCTCCTCCGCTGAGAGCGGGCTTTCCGGAGCGCCGGGAGGGGATCTCCAAGGAGGTGGGCGCCTCCCGGGCAGGGCTGGAGCTCGACCGGACAGACCCCTGACTCCACGCCCACGGCTCACCGCCTCTCTCTCCTCAGCCCGGTACCTCCCCAGACATCTCCCGAGCTGCAGTTCTGCGGTGGAGACGCAGGACCTCGGGCAGGAAAGGAAGCCTGCCTGGCCTCACCTAAGACCCCGCGGGCGGGAGTGACAGGACGTGTGTCCCCACACCCTCTTGTCCTTCCTAAGTCGGCGCTGGTGTCTAGCAGGACAGGGCGGTCTTTGAGCGATTTGGAGGGGCAAACGGGCTCCTAGCCGCGGGCCTTCCATCCCCGCCTTCCTGGTTCCTAGAGCGTTGCGGGAGGAAGCGGTGGGAACACTGGGGAAAGTTTGGGGCAGTGTCGGTGGACGCCGGGGCCACACAGGCGACCAGAACCAGGGAGCCACCCTTCTCAGAACGCTTCGCGCGTTTTTCCGAGTTCGTGTACCCCACTTGTCCTCCTGGTTCTACCCAGGGACCGTCTGTACGCGGACACGCTCAGCGCAGGGCGGGGAGCGCCTCTGACTCCGGCGCGCGGGTCGGCAGGATCCCTGGTACTCCGCGGAGAAAGACGCGGGGCAGAAAACACCCGGCCCAGCCCGGGAAGGAGCGGCTGGTTGGCCGGGCTGCTGGAGCGAGACGAACCTACCAGCCACTAAACCTTTCTGCGGAGCTGGAAGTAGTCAGTGCTCTCCATGGATGGGAGGCAAGCGGGGTAGCCCCACTGGCTTTAGTTCTCCCCCAGACGGAGGACCTGGGTTCCTTGGGAAACTGCCCTAGTTCCACGTGACAGGGAAAGAGGTGGTTCTAGAGTCCGACGGACTAGGGTTTAGTAGCTGTGCGACCTTGTGCCAGTTCTTTAATTTCTCTGAACCGGTTTCCCAGCTGTGAAAACAGCTGTTTATCCAACCTACAACCAAATGTAGGGGGTAAATGAGTTTACAAAGATGAGTGTGCCGAAGGTCCCCAATACATGTAAAGTATGACTTGGATATGAGGCCCGTATTGGTTTACTAATGGAGGTATGTGCCTGGGCAGATTTGCTTTGCCTCTGAAGTAAGTGTGTGTGTGTGTGTGTGTGTTTGCTTTGCTTCTGAAGTGTGTGTGTGTGTGTGTGTGTGTCCTTATGAGTTAACTGACTGACTGAATGATTGATTTGTCCATCCTAGAAGCCTTGCCTAAGACTGTTCCTGATGTAAAGCCTGAAGGATTTTTTGAGGTGATTTAAACCTCAGGCCTAACCTGGGGCCCAGGCATCTCTTCCCACACTAATCCTCCCTCCTTGGCTGAGCGCTGGCAGTGGGGGCCCCAGCACGGGGAGGAAGAGGCATCTGTGTTCACACATGACTGCATAAGTGTCCACAGCTGGTAGATAGGAATAGGGACTGGGGTATGCAAAGCATTAGACTTTCACACTACAGGTTATTCTAACCTAAAACATCAGCCTTTTGGACTGTGATGCCCCTGCTCGGGCTATTGGTGGGCAATCATTTTTTCTCCTTTCTGGTGTCCAAGAGATCTCAAAATGAAGATCCTGCAGGAACCATGCTGAGATCTTCTGAGAAAATACTCTGAGATTAGCAAACCTGATTCTGCTACTCAAAGTTGGGAAGAAAAGGGCACTGGCCTAGTTTGTGAGGCTTTCTGTTGGCTTATACTTTCTTAGAATAATTATGTTAAAAGTAAACCTAATGCATTCTGCTCAGGATATTGACCTAGGGCAGTGGAAGTTAACATTCTCCTGGTGTTCTATTAGCTTTTTAATTTTTTCCTGGATTAGGGCCCCTCAGAATCCTTGGAATCATTTGCTTGTTTTTCTGCTGCACATCTTTGTTCCCAGTTTTCCAGTTCATCCCCAAGCAGCTTCTGCTCTCCATGCCCCTCACCCCAGTATCTCCTTCAGGTATTCTAGACTGGAATACCAGGGTCGCTATTGTAAAATTATTGAAATGCAGGGTTTCTTCTCAAAGCCAGGATCCAACTGAGATTATTATTCAGCCTTTCCCAAGTTGTTAGCACTATATTGACTTTCTTCTCTCTCCACCACTTCTCCCTTCTCTTCTCTCCTCTCCCTCCCTCGTCCCCCCAATCTGCCTGCTTCTGCAATAATTATGCTTTAGAAAGCTCTGAAAGGCCTGCTCTGTTTCTGACCATGGCCTCCTTTGAAAAGGAGATTACAGTGATTAAAAATAACAAGTTGAGGATCCTCAAGGGGCTTCCCTTAAAGGACAATTTGCAGGACCAGGCATTCCTGGATCACAATTTCAAGCCAAATAGAAGAAAATCAACTAAAATGTTCAAGAATTGATTGAAAATAAAAGAAGGTCTTTTGTCTGTCCAAAGGTCTGTTTATTAGGGAAATAAAGCCAGACCCTGGCTAATGAGAGTGGCTTTTCCTAGATGTTCTTTAAAGGGAAATTGCAAGAAACTTGATGGGAAAAGAATGTCCAGTTGAGATTTCAAAAGCTTGTCCAACTTCAAGCATAATTGGGGGATTTGTTCCAAACTAGGAGGTTTGAGACCTCCAAAGCTGCTTTGCCTTCTCTTTCTTTGTTCCACTCTGGGGCCCACACTGCTACAGCAGAGTGGGTCCCAGAGTGCCCCATCTTGGCCTCGGGGAAAGAGCACAGGATTTGCTGTTGGCTGTTTCAGTTCTGCTCATTCACATATTCACTGTGTGACCTGAGGCAGGCCATTTAACCTCTCTGAGCCAAAATTTCACTAACTATAAAGTGATAGTACCACCCTGCGCCCACTACAGTATTGCTATGAGGATTAGAAATAATCCATGTCAAAAGAAACTGTCACAGAATAGGTGCTAAAAATATATACATTATAAGATGATTATTTTGGAAATAGAAAGATACTTGGCATCAAGTGCTGGATGAGACATTGTGTTAAGTATTTCCTACTCATCTCACTATTCCTTATAGTACTTTGAGGTGGTTTATTATTATTATTACTTTGCAGATGAGAAGAGTGAGTCTCAGAGAGGTTTAGTAAGTTGCCCATGTTCACACAGCTAATAACCAGTGGAGTTAGGATACAAACTCAGGAGTGTCTGTCTCCTAAATCTGTGCCCTTACCCAGTCTTCTATACTGACTCAATAAAATAAATTAGGAATAGAATGAATTCACTCAGCTACCTTCAGACTTCTGGATGGTGAGTCTCTGTTGAAGGAAAACAGCAAGAACAGATCAAGATAGCAGCTGACATATCTTGGGAAACAAAATATAAAATGATGAGTCCTCACTTACATTTGCTTTTTTTTCTTTTTATAGACTTCAGTATTGCATTTCCCCATAAACCAGAGGATTAATTTAGAAACATGAAGAACCTTGTCAATCTTTAGCCAATTTCTTTTGTTTTTGGAAAACAGAAACAAATTGGATAGGGGGAAAAAAACCTAATTTGATTGTTGCTTTATTTTTATGTGCAAATATTATGTGATCCAGCAAAATTATTAGTTTGAAAAGTAAATATATAGAATCAGAGAAATTTAAGCTGGATAAGGTTTTTTAAATAAACTGTTTCTTAGTAGAGTTTTTTTTTTTTTTT